GGGGTAAACACCCAGTAGAAGGATTACTAGATCATATGGTAGATCAATTCTTAGTTTTTTGAGGAACCTCCATACTGTTTTCCATAGCGGCTGTACCAATAAGATTGATTTTTAATCAGCATGCCCGTGATTTGTATGAAAATAGGTGCTTGAGGATACTTGAAAACAGACTGTTTTCTTTAGTTCATTTCCTCAGAAATCTTGTTTATGTTCTAAAATTGCTTAACAAAACTATTTTCAGAAATAGTCTAAAGCATGTCTTAACCCTTTTCCTGTTTGCTCAGATATAACTTATAGATGATAGCCCTAAACTTACCCTCAAAGTTTTCATGAAATCTCTCTCTTTTATTATTATTTTCGCATTGCTCTAGCATATCAATAGTCTTTGGAAACAAATGATATCATTCTATTTATAGCATTCTGTTTTCAGTAGTTTGATCACTGAAAAAGTCAAATTCTAGAAAATGCAGCATTCCTAAGCAAGCTACACTTTTTTTTTCTAAACAGGAAAAAGAAAGCATCACACCAGCAATTGCACATATCATCATTCCTAACTCTAAATTAGTGAAATCATTGATTCATCTTTAATTCCCAAGGTTATGGTAGTGAATGGGCAAAATCCAAGTTTTGCTTCTCCAAAATTAATTTAAAATTAGGTTTTTAAAAGTTTTGGGCAATCTTTGCTTTTTTATTTCCTGAAGTTTTGTTATTAATAATCTATGTGTGGGTTTCTTCTTATTTATTTTATTTGGAGTTCATAGTGACTCTTGAATTGGTGGGTTGATTTCTGCCATCACTTCAGAAAATGGTCAACCATTAATTTTTCAAATATTTTCCTCTTCTACATTCATTCTCTCTTTTCTCTCATTCTGGGACTTTGATCAAATGTATTGTAAACCTTCTCACTATATTCTCCATGTCTCCTACCCTCACTACATGCTTCATTCTGGGTATTTTCTTTTGACCCGTCTTCAATTTCACAAATTCTCTTTAGTTATAACTCTACTTACAAATCCATCTTAGCTTATAGTTTCAGTTCTAGAATTTCTAACTGCTTCTTTTTCATATCTACTTTGTTAGTTTTCATCATCTCATTAGTTCTCTGCCCAAATTTCGAATTTCATCTTTTATCTCCTTGAACATAGTTAGCACAGTTATTTTAAAATCTATGTCCAATAATTCCACTATTAGGAGCTCTTGTCATTTCTATTTCTTGTCATTTCTCTTGGCTCTTTTTCCTAATATCTTATTTTCCTAATATCTTATCTTGTTTCTATTTCTTGTCATTTCTCTTGGCTCTTTTTCTTAATATCTTATTTTCTTGTGCGCTTGATATCTGTGATTGTGTGCCAGACATTACATTTGAAAAATTGTTTGTGGAAATAATTTGAGAACTTGGATGATGTTATCTTATTCTAAGAGGATTTATTCATTTGCTTTTATAAGATACTTGGGGGCATCAGCAATCAAGATTTCCTTAATTAACCATTAGGGCTTCAAAATTTCCTGGGCCACCCAGATGACTTGAAGCTGGGTTGCAATCCCTGCAAGAGCTGGTTTACTTCTGGTGTAGTCTTTTCAGAATCCCAAACCAACTTTGTCCTTTAGTCTGTGAGGCTGTCAAAAGCATTGCTCTTTTTAGCTTCTCAATCTTTTTCATGAACAGTGAGTTATTCCAGTACAAGTGGCCCCAAATGCAGTACTTACTTTGCTAGATTTTTTTTTTCTTCTCTATCTTCACCCGGAAATCCTTTATTATCTTTTTATTGCCCCAGTGTCTTTTAATGATTTGTTCATGTTTTTAAGTTTTTCTGAGGCAGAGCCACAATTTTTAAAAAATTAATTAATTAATTGTTTAATAGCGACATTGGTTAATGAAATCCAATAAGTTTCAACTGCACACTTTAACAGTAAGGCATATATATATATTTATACTGTGTGTTCACCTTCCGGGCCACAATTTTTTAGAGATGACTTTTATAAAGCTATCGATGCAAATGATTTTGAAAATGTAAAATATTGAGTTAAGAGTTAGTCTTTGTTTAGACAGTTAAAATGAGAACTTTAAGATATTAATACGTATTCCAGCTCTTGTCATAAATCTGAGTTTGTTTTTGTCTGTTTTCTAAAAAGAGACAAGTAGCTTTCTTCTCCTGTATTATCAAAAGATTTATTTGAATAGTTTCCTTGAGGTTATGAATGTTGATATAGAAAACTACATGTTAGAATGTTTGTTGTAGAACCATATTAGATTTGTAAACAGTGTTCGTCATAAGAGATTAATTTTATTTACTGGCTTTCTGATAATTGACTTGCTGATTCTACCTCACTGATTTGTAACTGATACAACTGGTATAAAAAGACTGTGATGATTCCCTTAAAATTAAGAGTATAATTAAAGGAACTCCTGGTAAAATTTATTTTTACATGTAAATTAAAGTGACTCTAACAAATTAACTTGGAACTGCAATGCAGAGTATCAGTCTACCACATTAAGTATTCAGGCTAATGAAATAGTCTTGCTTATTTTTATATTTTTGTTTTATTTTAATTTTATTCATATATGGGTCATCAAATTTCAAAAGATTAAATGACAATACTCTTAAAGCTTCTTTAAGCATATAAACATTTTAATGGGTTATGATTAGAGGGCATTTGCACTGTTAGATATCACTTTATACTTGCCCAATAAACAGATACCCTATACTGTGACACTGGATAAATGAGTATTAGCTGGAGGAGGAAGGAAAGATAGGCAATATGGTATAAGCAAATGGCTTTCGAGTCAGACTGACAGTGATTGAAATCCTGTCTTTATCCCTTACTACCTTCGTGATCCTGGGTAAATTAGTCTGAGCCTCAGAGTCATCATTTGAAAACTGGGGATAATGATGGTAGCCATCTCACAGGGCCTTTCTGAGGGGAGAAGGTAAAGAATTAAGTGAGGTTGAGATTATAAAGCACTTAATACATTCAGAGCACATACAAGTATTTAATAAATAAATAAATATGGCTATTATTACCTGACTGAGAAGTATTCAGCAACCTGGGGGAATAAAGGCAGCTCTGGAATTTCTGCTAGGAGGGGCTCAAGAGCAGCAATCACAATGGAAGTTAGGGTAGGACACTGCTTTTACACTGATTCTATGCTTACTTCAAGAGAATGAGGAAAAAATTGAGGAGATACTGAGAAACTACAAGGCTCCTCCCATATCCTGCTGCTCCTATCCCAGAGATATTCAGGGGATTTCTTTCACTATCCCCTCCCATCCCAAACAACTAATCACTCAACAAATACAAAACAGCTGCTGCCAAAGGATTGGCCTCCTGGAAGAGAACCAGAGAAGGGTGGTGCACTTCCTTGCTAAGAGTGTAAACACTAGATTGTGCTTACACTAGATTCCACTTGTGCTTACACTAGATTCCACTTCTCCCTGTATACAGACTCTGTGGAGAAATCTCACTTAGCACCCCAGCCCCGCTCCTCCCTAGCTTCAGCCAATCTCCACTTTGGGAGAAAGGTGGGGTGGGGTGGGGTGGAGTGAGGGCGGGGCATGATCCGTGGTTCAGCAAAGTAGATCCTCCGGAGCACAGGCTGGTATTCTGGGACTTTTCTGACTTCCAGGAGCGCTACTTACTCAGACCCCTCTGCAGCCTCTACTGAGGCCTGAAGGACACAGATAGACATCCATTCTCAGCACCAGCTCTGGTTGAGGATACACTGGGGCATGGAGAGCCTCAACCAGTCTCTCTTGCTCCTGTGGGGACACTCTCCTTAACCAGGGAGACCTTGGGCTTGACCTTGGGCTCTGGAGGCTCACTCTCTAGGTTTGAAATTCAGGCTTCACCTTTAGTTAGTTTGTGACCTTGGGCAGGTTATTTTTGTGTGTCTAGTTTTCTCCATACCAAGATGGGCTCCAAGGACTATTATTAATCTAGTGGGTTTAGCATAGTGCCTGCGCATAGCATTCTCAATAAATATCAACTGTGATTACCTAATAGGCCCCAAACTAAAATAGACTAATCTATTAACTTGCTTTGGTCAAAAGACCCCGGGTTCTAGTTATAGTCTCAATATCGACACACTGATCTTGGACAAGTTGCCTCTTCTCTCTGGATCGCAGTTTCCTTATCAGTCAAATGATGGACTTAATAGATTTTTAAAATACAGTCAACACTTATCGAGTTGCTATCTTCTAGGCCTCTTCTCTGCAAAACTTCAAGGTTATAATTATTACCCAGTCCCTGATCACACTCGCGGGGTGGTGAGGGGCACTTAAAGTGGGGAGGCTTGTTCAACTCTGCTTTAGGGGTAGTCATCAGATTCACGGGAAAATGGCACTTGAACAAGATTTCAAGAATGATTCACTGGAGTTTGCCTGGTAAATACTGGCGAGGTTTTTGTTTTGTCCTTTTCAAATTGCTGAAAATAAGACCACTCCTTTTTTATTGCCGAGGTCATTAATCGAGGGAGTCAGCCGAATAAAAGCAGGGTATAAGCCGCCTAGTTCGCAACCCGGGACCGCCTAGAACACGCGCGCCAGGGAGCCGGAGGAGGGTTCTGCTCTCCTGGGAGAGAGCAGGGAAAGGCAGTGCACGGTAAAGCTACTGTAGTCAGCCAGAGCCTTTTAACCTATCTCGAATGAGAAGTAGGGTGGTGCTAAGCTGTAGCGTGGGGTCGTTAGCTCGGCCTTCTAGAAGGACATGCTCTGAAAGGTGCCCACAGCCAGGCGTCTAGTCCTGAGTCGCCGCGCCATCCCAGTTCCAGGGTTTCTCGCTTCAGGAGGGTTAGTCTTGCAGGAACTGGGCCTGCACCAGTCACCAGAAAGCTGAGGCCGATGACCTCTGCGAGCTAAGAGCATTTAAGTTCGGTGGAAGAGGCGCCAGCAGAACACGCGCAAGGCCACGCGGGCAGCGCGGGAGCCGGCGCGTGTCCCCGCACCCATCAAAGGAGGCGGGGAGGGGGCGGGGCCGGCGGCGCGGCCTCCCGTGAAGCCCCGCGCGAGGAAGGACCGGAACTCTGGGCGGGCGGCTTGTTGATAATATGGCGGCGGGAGCTCTCTGGGCATCAGGAGGAGGCGGTGGGGCCCACACCCGGAAGGGTCTCTTTTCGGGCTAGTGCGGCGAACGCTGCGGACCCGGAAGTCCGGGCCGGTTGCTGAATGAAGGGAGCCGGGCCCTCCCCGCGACAGTCCCCCCGCGCCCTCCGCCCCGACCCGGGCCCCGCCATGTCCTTCTTCCGGCGGAAAGGTAGCAGAGGGGGCCCCTGCGGGGAGCCTGGCCGGGCCTCAAGGGCGGCGGTGGGGATCGTAGGCCTACAAAGGCTTCCTCCTGGGCGGTGGCGAGGCTCTAGGCCTCCGCGCAGACGCCCCCTAAGTGCTTCGCTCTACTCCGGGACTCTGCAGGGAGGGAGAAGGTGGCCTCTGCGTGCGAGGTCAGAGGGGAATCGTCCTCTGGTCCAAAAGTGTTTGCAGAAACATATACAAACCTGATACCTGTTTGGGTGTGTGTGTGTGCGTGTGTGTGTGTACACTGTGGATCAAGAAAAATGAAATTCCTTTAGTACTGTGTTGTAGAAGTCTGACTTTTAAGAATATTGACGATTTTATCTAAAAGCAACACGTGAAAAAATTGTTTTCTTCAACTAGTGCTCTTTTCCAGTTTCTCCTTTTTTGGGGTAAGGGGAGGTTCTACTGTTTCTAACATAACATTGCTAAAAGTTTCCTAATGAAGAATACTTTTTGTGATGACTTAGTAAGTTACTAACTACTTAGTACTAACTACTGGAACACTAACTTTATAAACAAACTAGTTATATTTCTGATTTTCAATTTCAATAATAGCTACCCAGTTTTTAAGTAGAAGCAGCCTGATTGTGTGTGTGTGTGTACTGGATTGGTGCATTTCATTAAAATACATATCCAAAGTGAACAGCTGTCTTTTGACATGATGGTGGTTCTTGTATCAATTTTTGCTGGTTCAGAGAAAATGTACCAGACCAAAAAAACTAGTTTTGAAAAAACACTAATCATAGACTCGAGCTCACATGACAGCTCTGCCATCTGTTAACCTGGGGGACAGAAAAGTGTAACTGTCTTTGCTCTCCTCTCTCGACTAAGCATTAGATAATTCCTAAAGACTCCATTCAACTCTTTAAAGAATTTCTTTAAAGTACATACAAAGTTTGGTGAATGAATGAAACTGGTAAAAGTGATGAAGTAAGGTACTTTTGTGTAGTCAATAACTCTAATTTATTTAACAGTTTTGAAGTGGTTAGGCGTTTTTGTCTTTTTTTTTTTTTTAACGAGGAAAAAAAGTGCCCTGTGTATATTGAGACACATTACATGTTGCACAATAGACTGTTGTCTCTATTTATTCAACAGATATTTTTGAATGTCTACTGTTTGCCAGGCACTGTGCTAGGTCCTCAGTGTAGAGCACTGAGCAAGTCCTTGTACCCACGGAGTTTATTGTGTGCTGGAGTAGACAATAAAACAATCAAAATCTGTCTCCCTCCCTCCCTCCCTCTCTCTCTCTCTCCCTCCCTCCATATTGAATAAAGTGTTATGAAAGAGATAACTTGACCGAGGAAACATTTAGATTAAATGTTAGAGAAAGGCCTGAGAAAGTGACCTTGAAACTTAGAGCTGAGGGATCAGCAGGGATAACATGTAGAGGCCAGAGAAGAGCAGTCTAGGCACAAAAGAGCATGTTCAAAGGTGGTGAGGCAAGAATTTGGTGCCCTTCAGAAAGGAAAGATGGCCATGTGACTCAGGCTTAGAGAGGTGGACGAGGATCAGATGATTCAGAGCTTTTTAGGCTATGGTAAGATTTTATTCCGGCTGCAGAGACAATATTAAACATTTTTAATAAGTGATTTTTGTCTTATTTGATTATTTTAAAAGATCATTCTTGATGTTTTATGGAGACTGGATGTGACAAGAGTAGAAGCTGGAGATGGTCTTATTTAGGGATCCCAACCAGTCTTTACCATTTTAAAATACCACCTGTATGCATCTCCAGCTTGGATCGTCCGTGCTGAATCCAGACTGGTATATCCAACTGTCAGTCCACTTTATACTTCTTACCTAATAGTTATCTAATAAATAGGCTATTTAATAGATAAATATTTAACTTACTATATTTAAAACAACTCCAGATTTAGTCATCAGTTTTTCTCATTTCAATAAATTGCATTTCTGACCTTTTAATTGCTCAAGCTAAAACTTTAGTACATTCTTGAACCTCTCTTTCACTCTTACTCTATATCTGATCCACTAGCAAATCTGTTAGGTCTATCCCAGAGTATATCCAAATCCAACCACTTCTCACCGTCCCATACCTTAACATCCTGGTCTGTGCAGTCAACCCTATTTAGATTAGATGATTAAAGAAGTCCTCTTTAATTCCAGCCTCAGCTTAAATGTCAAGAGGAAGCTGGTTTTATGAAAATCAAGGAAGCAGCATTATTTTGCTATTAGCCTTCAATTTGGTTTCCCTTCTATTTTTGACCCCTATATTTTCAAAATACCTTTGTTCACTTCTTCCAGTGGCTTCTTAGACGTGGCCCTCCATAACCTAGGTCATAAAAAATGCATGTAATTTGTTACCTAGCAGTTCCATTCCTAGATATTTATCTTAGAGAAATTCTTACATATATACATAGAAAGACATGTACTAGAATATTCACATCAATGTTTGTGATAGTGAAAACTAGAAAATGAAACCTAAATGTTAACAGGAAAATGGGTATATAAAAGTAGGTATATTTAAAAGAATTAAGCAACTAAAATTAACTAAAGCTACATGAAAACTAGAATTGCATTAATATAGACAAATGTTGAATTATTGAATGAATATGAGCATGCCTCAAAGATATTGAATGACTACAAGTATGAGATACAAGCATGCCTCAGATATTGTGGGTTCAGTTCTAGACCACTGCAATAAAACAAACATAATAAAGTGAGTCACGAATTTTTTGTTTCCTGGTGCATATTAAAGTTATGTTTACATTATATTGTAGGTCGTGAGTATGCAGTAGCATTATGTCTAAATTTGCATACCTTAATTAAAAGATTTATTGCTAAAAAATGCTAACCATCATCTGAGTGAGTCATAATCTTTTTGCTGGTGGTGGGTCTTACCTCTATGTTGATGGCTGCTGACTGATCAGCGTGGTGGTTGCCAAAGGTTGAAGTGGCCATGGCAGTTTCTTAAATAAGACAATACTAAATTTGCTGTATTGATTGACTCTTCTATTTATGAAAGATTTTTCTATAGCATGCAGTGCTGTTTGATGAAATTTTACCCACAGTAGAACTTTCAAAATTGGAGTCAGTCTTGAAACCCTGCTGCTGCTTTATCAATTAAGTTTATGTGATAATCTAAATCTTTTATTGTCATCTCAGAATCTTCACAGCATCTTCAAACCACTTTCTTTGTTTATCCATAAGAATCAATTCCTCATCTTTTAAATTACTGTCATGAGATTGCACATCTTCAGGCTCCACTTCTAATTATTGTTCTTTTGGTATTTTCACCACATGTGCAGTTACTCTGTTGAAGTCTTGACTCTCAAAGTCATCCATGAGAATTGGTCTCAACTTCTTCCAAGCTCCTGTTAATGTTAATATTTTGACCTCTTCTCATGAATCTTGAATGTTCTTAATGGTATCTAGAATGGTCAGTCATTTCCAGAGATTTTTAATTTACTTTGTCCAGATCCATCAGCGGAATCGCTATCTGTGGCAGTTATAGCCTTATGAAATATATGTCTTAAATAATAAGACTTGAAAGTTGAAATTACTTCTTGATCCACAAGCTGCAGAATGGACGTTGTTTTAGCAGGCATGAAAAGAACGCTAATCTTATTGTACATCTCCCTCAGAGCTCTTGGATGACCAGGTACATTGTCAATGAGCAGTAATAGTTTGAAAGGAATTTTTTTTCCTGTGCAATAGATCTCAGCAGTGGGCTTAAAATATTAGGTAAACCATGTTGTAAACAGATAGGCTGTCATCAGGTTTTGTTGTTCCATTAATAGAGCACAGATAGAGTAGATTTAGTATAATTCTTAAGGACTCTAGGATTTTTAGAATGGTGAACGAGCATTAGCTTTAATTTAAAAGTCACTATTTGCATTAGCTCCTAACAAGTGAAGTCAGCCCATCCTTTGAAATTTTAAACCAGACATTACCTAGCTTTGAAAGTCCCGCATTGCATGTTCTTTCAGTATAAGGCTGTTTAGTCTACACTGAAAATATGTTGTTTAGTGTAGCCATGTTCATTAATTATCTTAGCTAGATCTTCTGGATAACTTGCTGCAGTTTCTGCATCAGCACTTGCTGCTTCACTTGTTCTTTTATGTTATGGAGACAGCTTCTTTCCTTAAACCTCATGAACCAACCTTTGCTAGCATCCAGTGTTTCTTCTGCAGCTTCCTTACTTCTCTCAGCCTTCATAGAATTGAAGAGAGGTAGGGCCTTGCTCTGGATTAAGCTTTGGCTTAAGGGAATTTTGTGGTTGGTTTGATCTTATCCAGACCACTGTAACTTTCTCCATATCAGCAATAAGGCTGTTGCGCTTTCTTATCATTTACATGTTCCTTTACATTCACAACTTTGCTGTTTGGTGCAAAAGACTTAAGCCTTCTACCCATCTTGGCTTTGACATGCTTTCCTCACTAAGCTCAACCATTGCTAGCTTTTGATTTAAAGTGGCAGATATACATACTACTCTTCCTTTCACTTGAACACTTAGAGGCCATTGTAGGGTTATTTATTGGCCTAATTTCAATAGGGAGGCTTGAGGAGAGAGGGAGAGAGACGAGAATGGCCAGTTGGTGGAGTAGTCAGAACACAAAATATTTATCGATTAAGTTCATCGTCTTAAATGGGAGCTATTCGTGATGTCCCAAAACAATTATAATAGTAACATCAAAGATGACTGATCACAGATCGCCATAGGAAACATAATGAAAACATATGAAATATTACTGGAATTATCAAAACGTGTCACAGAGACACAAAGTGAGCAAAGGCTTTTGGAAAAACGGTGCCTGTAGACTTGGCTGAGTGCAGGGCCATCACAGACCTTCAGTTTGTAAAAAACTCAGTATCTGCAAAGTGCAGGAAAGTGCATTGCAATTAAAGAGGTATGCCATTGCCATTTATGTAATTTTTAAAGATGTGCAGAGTAATTTGTTTTACCTTTTTATACGTTCATATGTAGCAATAGTCTAAAACATGCATAGCTATAAACACATCTAATTTGGCATGGTATTTATCACTGGGAGGAGAAGAAGAGCATTGAGATCAGGTAGTGATTAGTATGAACCTTTAACTATATGTATAACGGGGAAATAAGGCAAACTGCTAATATTTGGTAAAGTCGGGCTGTGTGTGTACTTGCATGTTTGAAATATTAAATAGGAGATATGACTGGTAAGATGGGAATACATTGAGGGTGGCAAAGTGAAACTGTGGAAGTATTTTGGTGGTAGAATCAGTTGGTCTTAGAAGTGGTTTGGGTGTGGGAGGTAAGGGAGAGACAGTGTTAAGGATGACTCCCAGACTTTTGGCCTGAGAAACTGGTAGGTGATGGTGCGCCATTCATGAGAGATCACAAAAACTGTAGTAGACACAGGTTTGGGAAAAGATGGTACATTTTGCTTTGGACAAATGGAATTATGGGATATGTAAAATGATATATAAAAATGATTTAGTCTAGAAATATAAATTTAGCAGTCACATCATATTTATGGTATTGAAAGCCTTAAGATTGGATAAGATTATTCAGGAAATATATATGTATATGTAGTAAAAAGAAAAGGGATCCCAATCCTTTCCCTGAGAAACTCCCAGTGGGCAAAGGAAAAGTCAGCAAGGAGATAAATTAGGAATGGCTAGAAAACCCGAAGAGTGGAATGCCATGGAAGCCAAGACAAGTTCATGTTTCAAGCAGGAGATGTAGTCCGTTGGCAGATGGTGCTGACAGGGCTGTTAAAACCACTCACCCTACCACATTTCCTTATTTTATCTTCCTGACAGCAGTGATCAGTTGGAATGATCTTATTTTTATCTGCTTGTCTTCACATAACTTGCATGTGGACTTCAGCAAGGCAGGACTATCTTTTCTGAGCCAGAAGAGTATTTGGTACATACTAAGCACTCAGTTATTTGTTGATAGATTTATCAGGTACTATGAGAGCTAGTTGTTTCCTGCTACTAGCCTTTCAACTTGACTTTAATGTTTGAAAGTATAAGTAGAGAGATTGGTCACATTTTGGGATTTTTTATTTTGATAGGCTTTTCATGGTGAGGTTAAAGAAAATTAAATGTTGGAAAAAACACAAAACATAAGAGGATTAAAATAGTCTTATCTTAGATCCTGTAAGAGTTAACACTTGGTTTAGGCTGCTATCTACTTTCTTTTCTTGGATATTGTTAGTGTATATGCAGTAGAATTTCCACTATTTTGTATAATAGAGGAAAGATTATAATTTTTTAATAAACAAGTTGTTAAATCTTATATTTGAAGTTTGGAATGTTTGTAAGTTTAGAATGTTTGTATTTGATGCTGTCGGGGGGATACATAGAAATAAGATATAAATTCAACCAAAGAATTTTCTTTCTTCAGGATGCATCTAATAGTGGGTAGCACATGGTGATAATATTAGTTAACAGCCTAGGTTTACTGTGTGCTAGTTACTCCTAGGCCCTTTACAAGTATTTATTTTTTTATCCACAAGCCTCTAAGGTTGGTATTATTAATGGCCTAATTTTATAAATCAAGGAAATTGAGACCCAGAGGAGTAAAGTAGCTTGTCCAAGGTAATATGGATTTATCAGCTAGAATTTCAAACTAAGTAACAGCCAGAATTTCAACTTAAGTATTCTGACATTGGTTGTCTATAAGCACACTCAGTGTTCTTGACTGAATACTTGTTCAGAGATATCTTCTAGAGACATGTTCCCTGATGACTGCCTGCCCTGGCCCTCTCCCCTTTCCATGGCAGTTAGTCCATTGCTACTTTGAATACTCATCTGTTAGAATAAAGCTTGTCTAATTTTTACAATGTATAGAATGTATCTTTTTGACTAAAAATTGGTTATGATGTTATTTTATCTTCTAGTGAAAGGCAAAGAACAAGATAAGACCTCAGATGTCAAGTCAATTAAAGGTGAGTTCAGCAACATTCCGTTTTATTAAAAAGTGCTGTGCTTTGCATTTATGAGTTCTTTAATCCTGTTATCTCCCTTTTGCCAATAATTATTTCTTCCTTCTTTTAGAATTATTTATGATTGTGAGTGTTTAATCTATATACTCTTCAACACCTAGCATATATTAAGCTTTTACTAAGCATTTATTGTCCTGGTGATTACACTGAACCAGTGCCCTCCATATTAATCACACATTTGATTGTTCTCCAAAAGTGATTAGTTGACTTTATTTTAAAACAACAAAAAGCAAAAAATTCTCTTAACTGAGCAGTCTGACAACTGATTGAAAGTGCTGCTCCTTTATAAGGCTTGGTTTTCTGTTGTTTATCTGGAAGCATGGATGATTATAGTTTTCACTTTATTACTTTGGATGCATGACCTTAACTTAAAATTTATTCAGAATACTTTATTGCAATCAGTATGTTGTCCTTATTTATAAGACATACTTAGATTATAATCTTTGCTGTATTTTTGACTGATTTCATTTTGTCAATGTACAAAGATTATAATGGAAATTATTTCCATAGCATTATATATCAGTTTCATAAATGTAATTTATTTACATGAAATATATGGATTGCTACTTATTTAGATTTTTCTTTCAAATGTTTGTATGTTGTGTGACTAACATTGAGTATTAACTATATGCTCAGTTTTCCGGAGAGACTAATTATAACTTGTTAAGAGATTTGTAAGATTATTTTCTGCTTATGTCTGATAATTTAAAGCCAATTGGATTCCTCATTAGTTCATACTGCCCTCATTAAGCAAACTTTAATTGGAAATGATAAAGGCTAAAAGCCCTTAGCAAGCAGGTTTGTGAAGACTAGATCTGATTGCAGTAGAAAGGGACTTTGATATTTCAGCACACCAGTCTTCTACACTAACAGTATGACCTTCGGAAGCCATTTAACTTTCTTCAGATTCTTTTGTAGAATGAGAAGATTGGCCTACCTAACTTCTAATTTGTACCAGGCTAAAAAAATTCTGTGCTTGTACTCTGTTTATGACAGTACATAATCTGTGCTTAGCACTCACTGACTTAATTGAAAAAAATCATTTGAAGACAGCTTCATTGCATAATTCTCCTAACTCTTGTTGAATAACTAATAAATATAGATACCTGGAAAACAGGTATGGACATTCATGTTCTTATCTACTTTATTCATGATCGCCTCAAGGAGCAATAGATTGAATTATAGTACTGTGTATTCTTCATAATAAATATTATCAAGTATTACTCAGATTCTGTGTCTGGGAAATGTTTACTAAGATTGAGAGCACCTGTCTTTTGACTGCTCAATGAAAGAAATGGTAGTAAATTCAAGTTTAGTTATCTGTGAGTATCCTGAGGGTATGGAATGCTTAGTGACTTTATCATTTTTATCCTTCTTGCTATAGTAATATGCTAAACCAAAACTTTTTCATAGAATCTTTAATATTTGTGTGGAATAAATAGGATAGGCAGGATTTTAATTCAGCTTTATCAACAAGTTCATAGGGTGACTTTGATAGTATTGTAATATTGAGTTGACTATTTCCTGTTAACACATTGGTAACCTCTTTATTCTGAAATCAAAAGGGTGATTTTAATATTTCTTCAGATTACTAAAGAAAATATATTTTATAAAATTTTAAGTGTGTTTTATCTTTAAGCAGCGTGAACTTTGATCATAATTTTTGTTGTTGTTGTTTGATGGAGAAATTTTCCTACTCAGTTAAAAAGAAAAATAAGTAATCTGAAGAGAATTTTTCTAAAATTCCACCCCCCACCCCCACCCAAGCTTTTATTTTGCAATTTTAGTTTTGTTCTTTGGGCAAGCAAGGATTAAGGAATTGGAAAGTCATATTTCAGAATGTTTCCTGGCTTTGGTACTGTCTATCCTCAGTAAAACTTATCAGAGAAAGATCTTTCTTTGAAATTCCATTTTTGGCACAGAATTTTGAGAGTTATAAATAATAACATGGTGTTTTCACTTTTCTGGTGCTTGATTAATTTACCTTTCCCTTTTGTTCAGTGTTAGTTAAGAGAGGTGTTATAAAACTTAATTTTTAAAGTTCTCTTAAAGCCCTCTTTTGAGACAGTTTTAGACTATCTAATTTTGTTTAATTTTTGACAATTTTTTGAAAAATTATAGCCTCAATATCCGTACATTCCCCACAAAAAAGCACTAAAAATCATGCCTTGCTGGAGGCTGCAGGACCAAGTCATGTTGCAATCAATGCCATTTCTGCCAACATGGACTCCTTTTCAAGTAGCAGGACAGCAACACTTAAGAAGCAGCCAAGCCACATGGAAGCCGCTCATTTTGGTGACTTGGGTAAGTGACAGTCACTTTTTGTTTACTTAAGGTAGGAGGAAGGAGTTGAATATAATATGTGAAACTCCTGCCAGAGAAAACTGAACTGTTTAATTGGAAGGGACCTTGAAAATACTCTATTTAAATTAAAATAACAGCTATAAGTGTAATGGATGGTACCGTGTTCTGCTTGCATAAGTACAAAATATGAAGCATGCCCAGTAGAAAATCAGTCCTTTCCAGAAGAAGAAATAGTATTTGGCCACTAAATATATGAAAGTACATTTATATTCAGGGAAATGCAAATTAATGAGTTAATGTTTCCCCTAACACATTAGCAAATATTTAAAGTTTGATAATTTGAATGTTAATGTAGATATAGAGAAATAGCCACTCCTTTTTAATGCAGTTGTAAATTGGTGAAGATTTTTTAGAAGGCAATTTGAAAGTATATATCAAAATATATAAGATCTAGCCCTCAGATATACTAACATACATGTACAAAGATGTACATACAAGTATGTATAAAGCTATTCATTGCAGTATTGTTTGTGATAGGAAAAAATTAGGAACATGTAAATACTGATTAATAGAAAAGTAGTTGAATTGTGGAGTATCCATACTCTGGAATACTGTGTAGTCATTTGAAAGTCTGAAGAACACATGGAGAAATGTCTACTATGTTAAAGCAGGTATAGCAGTATGTATAGTAGGAAGATCCCTATTGTATTAAAATAATTCCTTCCTCTCACTCCACCCCCTAAAAAAGAAAAGACATGCAGAAGATTTCTTACAACTGCATGTGTACCTACCATTATCTCAAAATTAAAAGTTTCGTTAAGAAAAATTGTAAGTCTTGCAGGGGACTAGGATTTCCTGAAGTTCATGAAACTGGTGTCTACAAAATGACTAGTTAACATTGACAATAAGACAGCAAAGATAATAACATGTGAAATGCTTCAGAAGAAAAAGATTTGAATATCAAAGGATTATGAAAAGCCCTTTTGAAAAATCGATGAAGTCATCAGTTAATTTTATGAAATTGAACATCTTTATGCCATCCTGTGGCAGTTAAAAAGATTTGATTTTTGTTTATTCTAATAGCTGTGGTTATTATATCATAACTTTAATTAAATGTAAAATAAACTTATTTTAAATTTTATTAAGTTTAATTTTTCAAGATAAAATCCCAGAGCTACTCTTTATTCTATTTTAAGTAATGCTGAGAGTTCAAAACATCTTTCTATCTATACACACATATCCACAATTGTTCCTCAGGATAAGTTTTTAGAAGCAGAGTTACTGGTTTGAAAATCATGCAGATTGCTAAGGTTTGCTATCTGTTACTGAATGCTCCTCCAAAATATTTTGCTGGTTTACATTCTCATCAGTGCATGAGAGCGTTTCCTGTTTCTCTGTGCCCTTGTTATTTTTTGAAAAAACATCTTCCAGTTCGACAGCCAAAAATGTTATTTTATATTAATTTGCTGGAGTTTTTATTGAGGTTTTATTGCATGTTTTTATTGGCCTTTTTTCTTGCTTTGGAACTAGTATAAAATTTTTAAAGAGAATTTACATGGTTTGAATTGCCATTAAAAGAGATATGAGGATTATTTGAGTAACAAAGAGCTTTTTAATAATTTACATGTTTTGGACAGTTGGTTCTTTGCTTGTTTAGAAACCAAAATCATAGTATTTCTAGTTCTTTATTAATTTAAATTGCTAGGAACTAAACTTTGTTTAATAACTGATACCCCTGATGCTCATGGTGACTGAGTAATCTGTCAGTCCTCAACTATTTGTTACTGAACTGCTAATTCTTTTGCTTTTAGGCAGATCTTGTCTGGACTATCAGACTCAAGAGACCAAATCAAGTCTTTCAAAGACCCTTGAACAAGTATTGCATGACACTATTGTCCTCCCTTATTTCATTCAATTCATGGAACTTCGGAGAATGGAGCATTTGGTTAAATTTTGGTTAGAAGCCGAGAGTTTTCACTCTACAACTTGGTCCAGAATAAGAGCACACAGTCTGAACACAGTGAAGCAGAGCTCATTGGCTGAGCCCGTCTCTCCATCTAAAAAGCAAGAAACTGCAGCATCTTCTGTAACCCAGTCTCTTGACAAGAGATTAGAGGATTCTGGTTCAGCCCAATTGCTTATGACTCAGTCAGAAGGAATTGACCTGAATAATAGAACTAGCAACACTCAGAATCACTTGCTGCTTTCCCAGGAATGTGACAGTGCCCATTCTCTCCATCTTGAAATGGCCAGAAGAGGAGCTCATCAAGTTTCCATAGAGACCCAAGAATCCTCCTCCAGATTTACAGTAGCCAGTAGAAATAGTTCCTCTTCTCCACTAAAAGAATTATCAGGAAAACTAATGAAAAGTAAGTATGTGATTTATTTCTCTCTCTCTCCTGTTTTTTAAGACAATTTACAAAGTGGAACTTGAGATGGGGAATATAAGTATTGGAATATTTTTTCTCCCATACCCACTGGCAAATTTGGGAGGATTTGGAGCGTGCCCTGGAGTAGGATCAGTGTATGAAAAAGGAACAGAAGGATTATCTCTAGTGATTGGATCTTCTAAGAAGAACTTGAGCAGAATTAACAAATGAAGGGTCAAGTGCCATCCAACTTTTTCCTTCCAAATTTTGAAATCAAACCATTATCCAGGTAGGGGTGAGTCTTCAGTTAATCTAGAGATCATTCTGTCCTTTGGCCTATGCAGCAAGCATGTCTACAGAAGCAGAACAAAGAGCCGATTATAAGGTTAGCTTTTTGAGTGAAAATTCCTCTTCAATCTCACTGTGTTTTTACTTTGCGTTTCTCTAATGGCTAATGATAATGAATGTCTTTTCATGTGCATATTTGCCATCTATATATCGTATTTGGTGAATTGCTCAAATCTTTCCACACTTTATCAGATTATCTGTTTTATTATTGTTGAATTTTGAGAGTTCTTTGTATGTTCTGGATGTAAGACCTTTTCTGGCTATGTGACTTGCAAATGTTTTCTCCTAGTTTATAGCTTGACTTTCCATTCTCTTAACAGTATCTTTCACTGAGCAAAAGGACTTTTCGATTGTTTAGTTTATCAACATATTTTGGATTGTGCTTTTATGGATTTTATAGATTATTGTGCTTTAGGAGTCATACATAAGAGCTCTTGCCTAATCAGAGATCATGAAGATTTTCACCTATTTTTCTTAACAAAGTATGGTTTTTTTACTTTAAATTCAGATATATGATCTATTTTGAGTTAATATTGTATAAGGTGTAAGGGTTAGGTCAAGTTTTTTGTTTTATTTTTTATTTTTGTATGTGGATACTTAATAGTTCCAACACCACTAACTAAAAAGACTACACTCACTCCATTGAATTGCCTTTGTATCTTGGCCATATTTGTGTAGGTCTATTTCTTGATTCTCTGTTTTGTATTGATGTATGTGTCTGTTCCTTCACCAATACCACACTGCCTTGATTACTGTAGCTTTATAGTAAGTCTTAAAATTGGGGAATACGAGTCCTCCAAGTGTGTTCTTTCTTTTTCACAATTGTTCTGTCTGTTCTAGTTTCTTTTTCTTTTTCACATAAATTTACAAGAAACCCTGCTGGAATTTTTATTGGAATTGCATTCAACCTATAGGGCAGTTTGGGGAGAATTTCTGTCAACTATATTGTCTTACAATCCATGCACATAGTATGCCTCTTCATTTATTTATGTCTTTGATTTCTTTCATCAGCATTGGATAGTTTTCAACATATACATCCTTCACATGTTTTGTTAGACATATCTAAGTATTTCTCTTTTGGTGCTTTGTGAATGGTATTTAAAATTTTTTTTGTTTCTAGTTTTTTAATGCTAATATATGGAAATATGATTGACTTTTATATGTTGACCTTCTATGACTTAGTAAATTCACTTATCATTTCTAGGAGCTTTATGGTAGAGTGCTTGGGATTTTCTACATAGACATTCATGTTTCTCTGAATAGGGGCAATGTTATTTCTTTCCATTCTGTATTTTTCTTTCCTTGCCTTATTGTACTGTTGCGGGATTCTCGAACAGAGAGACGGGACACCGAGGCTATAAGCAGGAAGTTGCTTGCCAGCACCAGCTCAGCAGATTCTTATCCAAAGGCTGAGCCCTGAATGTAACACGACGGGCAGTTTTATACCATCTTGTGCTTCTGCATGCCTACACAGCTATAGATATTCCATATAAGGAAGGAGAACATTTATCAGCTGCAAAACTATAAGGAAACCGGCTTAAACATTTAAGCAGGTTTTTGGACTGCTGTATCAGTTGGAGAGTCCTGGGAAGTGGGTAGTGTAGTCAGGAACTAACTCGTCTGAGCAGGAAATGGTCAGGCAGGGTCAGGCTGCCACATTCCCCACTTTGATGCTCGGACCCAGGACTGGGTCAGAGAGCATCATCTTTTTCTGATTTTTGGTTTAGGGGCTGCTACTTCCATAGCATGAGGACTTTTGCTGCAGTTTTTCTTTCTACTATAGCCTCTATGAGGGAGATAGTTGACCAGATAACAAGAGGCAGTAGGCATAAGAGGAGGAGGTAGGTCCCAAGGAGGAGAAGTACTATCCCAACTAAGGTCCTGAAGCCACCAAAAGTGGAGAACCAGCCTCTAAAGAGGCTACTAGGGTCCCATCCTTTCCAACTTTTGATGGACACGAGCTATTTTTCTAATATTAGTAGTTATGTCAGTCACAGCTCTGCCATTGTGATCTATTGGAGACAACAATTGGATTAGTTAAACTTCTCACATACTCCTCCTTCTGCTAGCAAATAACCTAAAGCTAAACGGTCTTGATATGTTGCTGCATGCATCTGGGACTGCTGTGTGGCCAGGAGTTCTAGGGCCGAGGCTGTCTGTAGTAATGATCTCTAGTATAGCCTGTAACCTGATGATTCGATTAAGCATGTATATGGGGATCCGGTAACTCCAGCTTTCATCTTGGGCCCATGTTGTAGGGCCATAGTATTGAATACTATGGTGGGGCGGCTATTCATCTTCCCCCTACATTTGTTGTCCCCCTACTTTGAGTGACCTATTAGTCCTAGCCTTTAAGTCTTGATATAGAGGAACACCTAGCTCATTTCCTCCTTGGTTCGGTAGGAGGAAGAAGCCAGGCCGAATGATCCCGATGGTGCAACTTCCCTTCCAGTTTGTTGGGAGTTGAATGTAAGCCTTCTTTCCACAAATCCAGAAGAGCCCTTTGGGTGCTTTCCAAATCCCAGGGCTAGCGGAATTGAGGGTTTCCCAGAATGTGCCAATAGCTGAGATAGCGTGGAAGGGATTAGGGACTGTGCCATTCTCTATAGTACAGTTTGTGACAGTTGAGCTTTGGTAAAGAGAGTGGCACAAAGAAGAGCTAATTGTACTGTTGGTCCAATACCATGAAGGAGCTTTGGGCCACCAGTCTAGTCTGTGTGATTTAAAAATAGCATTCTTTTACATGGAGTTTCTCCAACCCACTGAATGTATCTTGGACCTATCTAGCCAAGACATTCTTCCCCTACTACCTCTGAGGAGAGGACCCATCTCTGGGGTCAACCCTATTCGTGTCGAGCCATGGTGTGGTTCCACTGGAGGAGGTAAAAGGCATCTAGGCTAGTTACCTATCAAGGCCAATCTTCGCTCATGAGTGCTCCTCCACAAACCCAGCATTTAGTGACACCAAGTTCATGGGCTATCCTCTCAGCCGGGTCAACAAAGAGGTTTTTTTACCAGGGTTGGGAGGTCTAAGTTTTGGCCTAAGACACTTTTAAGTGGGTCATAAGTTGGACTGGGCCCTGGAGATGGTTTAGGATTTGTCTGTTCTATTACTTTGACTAGCTGTGCTCAGGCGCAGTATTGGACTCCCCCTCCATCTGAGGTACCTACATACCCAAGGTATATCCAACAGGCCCATCTCCCTGTCCCCCTGAGGTTGGCCCCTGGCAAGTGTGTCCTACTAAATATTTGGTTTTTATCCATCCCATCCAGTACCTTTTGCCAGCGTAAGTGCAAATGGTAGCTGACTTGTAACAAGCAGCTGGTTGATGGGTATATGAGGTAAAGGCCTGCTGGACCTGACCATCTATTTGGACAGTCCATAGACATTTGTCACATTAAGTCTCAGTGGCCACCCTCAAAGGCAAGCTTATGAGAAGCATTAATAGAGTCCTGAGGGATATGTTGGCCATTTTTGTGGGGTGTCGGCGTCCTCAGGCTTCTGCGCATAGATTAGTCAGCTTCTGGGGTGATCAAAGCGGGGCTAATATTTTACCCTTTTGGCACAGGCGGTATCTATTTCCGGAGGGTTGTCTTGAGGGGCTCAGAAGAGTCTGGAACACATTCCCACTCTGCAGCTGCAGGTTTAAGTCTGCTATGATGTATCCAGGGCGTTATTTCAGCAACCTTGACTGCAGTGGGGGTAGACAAAATGACAGTAAAGGGCCTCTCTACAGGGATTTTAGGGGCTGAATGTTCCACTCTTTTACCCAGAGTCTCCTGGCTTAAAGGGATGAACTTCAGTGGTTAAATTAACAGGGAGCCTTTCCCTAACCCATTGGCTGAGAGTCTAGAAGGTGGTCTCTAGAGCCTGAAGCTGTTGTCTCAGAGTCAGTTCACTTATTTCCTTGAAGTCTCCTCGTCCTTTGATGAGTGGTGGTGGATGCCCATATAGGCTCTCGTAGTGGGAGAACCCGGCCTTCTTAATTGGGACCAACCTGATTCTTAATAGTGCCATGCGGAGGACTTCGTTCCAATGTAGATGTGTCTTCTGACATAGTTTTCCCAACTGAGTCATAAGGGTCCTGTTTATGAGTTCCACCTGCCCTGAACTCTGGTCAGTAGGTGGTATGTAATTTCCATTTAATATTTAAATTTTTGACCAGTAGCCGCACCATTTGCGCTACAAAGTTTGGTCCATTATCCGAGCCACTGGTAATTGGTAGGCCAAATTGTGGAACAGTTTCTTGAAGGAGCAGTCTGGCTACTTCTCGGGCCTTCTTAGTCCAGGTTGGGTAAGCTTCTACCCAACCGGAATAGGTGCATACAAAGACTAAGAAATACTTGAGGCCCCGCGATCAAAGCATTTCAGTGAAATCTACTTTGAATTCCTCAAAAGGGGTGCCGCTGACACTTTGGACCCTTGGTGGGGCACATGGCCCTTGCCTGGGGTTGTCGCACCATTTACACACTGCTCGGGAGATGCTAGAGAGCTGGAGGATGTAGAAGTACTGGCCTAGAGTGGTTTCTAGGGCAGTGCGACCAAGATGAGTCCTTTGGTGAAACTGCTTGACAAAAGCTGGAGCTAGGGTCCCAGGGACTGCAATTTGCTTGTCCTTGAACTTCCACCATTCACTGGGGAGGAGTCTTCC